TTTGCTTTCTCCGTAGGGAGGGGGAGTGAACTTTCCTTCAGCACTTTCGCCGATGTAACAGATTCTTTTGGAAACAAATGAATCAATCCAAAGTCAGGTTTCCAGGATGTTTTAAAAATAACATAATGTCGTGGTTTAGCCAAGAAAACTTCTCCTTCTAAGACTTCCTCCTGCACAAACTTATCCAGTTGAAGAATCCTTTATGGCTGCCAAGACAGCCGCTCATCCGTCTCGGGAAAAAGGAGTCTAGCCGGCTGGGGAAGTGGGGTGCGATGTCCCCAGACCCCTGCCCGGATCTCCTCTATCTTCCGCTGCCCTTTCAGGGCAGCGACAACCCCCAAATCCAGTTGGATCGGGGGTACCTTGACGGCGAGCGCAGCAGGGACCCGCAGAGAAGCGGATTCCTGCTGCCGCCGAAGCCTTACAACCCCTAAGTCCAACCTACTTGAGTTCAGTTGGCTGTTGTCTACCACTAATTTGCTTTGACGATTACTAGTTCAAATTATTGTAGCGAGTGTTAGCATGCAATAAATCTGTATTCATTTAAACTGCTCTGGCTCCTGATTTCTTATGATTGGCATATGACTGGAAATTATAAATCTTATTAGGAACATTCTAAATTTTCAACCCCAAGGACCTTTTTCATCTTGATTTCCTAGTGTCCTATCTCCCTACCATTGAGATATTTTTTGTAACTAATGGTGCATTTTGGAGGAGGGCTTCTATAATGGCCAAAATTGCTTGGTGCTGTTGCTTCTACCTTGCACAACTTGGCATATTCTCCATGACTTCAAAACAAGATTTACTCGTGTCTTTCAGGAGGGTTGACTATGACTTACTCAACTTTTTACTGAAATAGTGAATGGTCGAAATAGAGAACATGCAGTGATAAACAATGTTATGTTTATATCTATGACGTTATGTGGACCTTTTCAGTATCTTGTCTTTAGTGAGTACAGCATCCTGAAGCCATTGGACAATTTTAAAAACTAGTATGGGAAACATCATAAGCCCACTTACTAGTTTTTTCACATTCATCCACATTATTTTCCATTAAACTTTAGCTGTGTTTTTCTAACATTCATACCTTTTACAGGCATTATCAGGTACTTTGAGAGCTGCAGTGGTTCACTGGTTAGAATGCAGTACTGCAGGCCACATCTGCTGACTGCCAGCTGTCCGCAATTTGGAAATTCAAATCTCACGAGGCTCAAGGTTGACTCAGCCTTCCATCCTTCAGAAATTAGTAAAATGAGGACCCAGATGCAATATGCTGACACTGTAAACCACTTAGAGAGTGCTGTAAATCAGGGGTTGGCAACCTTTTGGACCTCAGGGACCACCAAACTCATAATTTTAAATCCCGGGGACCACTAATATGAATTTGACTGATAGTGGCTTGCTGACATTGGTGTAGTGTGTGTGTGTGTGTGTGTGTGTGTGTGTGTGTGTGATATCTAACCTCCCTCTCTCTCCCCCCCCTCTCTCATACGCACACACACACCCAAACATACACAGAGGGGGGGATGGAATTCAAATTTCTTAACAACAGGTTCTTTGGCATGGCCTAATTTGTGGGTGTGGCTTGGTGGTCATGTGACTGGCTGGGCATGGCTTGTATGTAAATATTCTAAATGTTTATGTAAATATTGATTTTTTTATAAAAAAAGAGGAACTTTTACCCAAAATCAGGCAAAGCAGCCAGGCAGATTGAGTTGCTCACAGAATCACAGATTCACTTAGAAATTTGTGTTTCTGCCATCAGCTATCTGAGTCTGCACTGAATAATAGAACCTTCAGTCCTAAGGGAGATCTAAAGATTAGCTAGAAAGCAAGAAATCCAATGATTTCCTGCTTTCTAGTTAATCTACATTTCCCGGCACAGTAGAACAGCTGATGTTCGGGGTGGGGGGGAGGAAAAATAGCAACTTAGCAGGCAAGTTTTCCAGGTAAGGAGTGAGTGGGAGGAGAGGGAGGGCCATGTGGGCAGGGCAGACTTGTGTTCCTGCGCAGACTGGATTAATTGCTTTGGGGGGTGCTCTGGGGGTGACATTTCTCTGCGGACCACCAAAATTTTCTCGTGGACCACCAGTGGGCCATGGCCCACCGGTTGGCAACCACTGCTGTAAAGCACTGTGAAGCAGTATATAAGTCTAAGGGCTACTGCTATTGCTACTTTAAGCGCTGAGTTTTTACTATGAACTAAAGAAGCTTCTTGGATGAGAAGTGAAACATTTTCAAAGGAAAAAAAAACCAAGAAAGTCCAATTGCCTTTTGGAAAAGCACCCTTGGGACAACCATGACCTGGATGATTGAGAATCTCCATAGATATTCTGAACATAGCCTTACATATAAATAAGTCTGCATATAATAGAAGAAAAAATGCACTATATTTTAGAAACCTAAGCCTTGAAAAAGTAAAGTCAAATAGTGTGTTCTTTGACCAGCTGACATTTTGAAGCAGGGGACTAAAACTAAAGCTTTCAAAAAAGTTTTTAATTTTTTTATTGATGATGTCAGCCTTGGAAGCCATTTTTTTTTCTTGGAAGTTTCAAGGCTACCACATTTAGTGCCTGGGAATTTAGGAGAGGGGATTTCACAGTGAGTAGAAGGTTTGGGATGAACCACTGTATGCATAATCATAAATGTTTGCTGCATACACTGATTCATTTTATGGAAACTGATCAAGGAGAGATTCAACCTAGAAATAATGAGAATTTTCCGACAGTGAGAACAATCAACTAAGGGAACAGCTTGCCTTCATAAGTTGTGGGACCTTCATCACTGGAAGCTTTCAAGAAGAGACTGGATTGTCATTTGTCAGAAATGGTATAGGGTCTTCTGCTTGGGCAGGGGGTTGGACTAGATGACCCACAAAATCCCTTCCAATTCTGTTAATCTGCTAATTTTATTTCTACATTTCTGAACAAACATACTGTAGGTGCTTGTTATTAGTGAAGTCACACTCAAAGACAAAAGTGATATTGAATGCAGTAATTTTATTGAAAAAAAACCATGGGTATGTGCATTTCCTTCTTTCAAGTACATTAAATAAGGAACAATTGATCAGGAATCAGTTATTCCTTTATATGCATGTTTATTTTTAAAACTATACAGACATTGGGAAACTTAGAACTCCTTAGGACTGTATTGGCTATCATTGATTTTTGCAGTGATAATATACACATAGACTATTCCTCATTCCCGGCTGCAAACCTATTTGATATTTACCATTTGTGACCATAAACATGTCAGAAATATTTACATGTGCTAAAGATTGCATAACTGAGCACTGCATGAATATTTCAAATTCAGTTGCTAGCTTGATGAATTTCAAGAATTATCTTGGTGGTTTTGGTTGTTGCTGGAGCACCCCCATACTATGATGGATTATTTTCTCATTTTGGTCTGTTCATTTATTTTGGTTGTCTTTAGCTTGCATGCCAACTGTGGAGACCTTTATCTTAATCAAGGGACCAAAAGCAAGACAAAAAGAAGAGAAGCATAAACATTATTGCACTAATGCATGGTGAACTGCAGGTCTATGTATTTCAAATGAAAATATACCAACCGCTGCCTGTAAAACAAATGTTTGCTGTATCTCAAAAAAAGCAAATGTAGCTAGAACTATCTTCAGCCTGGTTCATTTCAGATAGTTCGTACATCTCAGCAAAAGCATTCTAGCAATCATCAGTATTCAAAGTAGGTGAGGAGATGCTTCCTGAGAGCAAGGCTTCAAAAGTCCACAGCCTCATTCTTGATATATACTTGTGTGTGTGTGTGTATGTGTGTGTGTGTGTGTACATACACATATACACATACATCATATATATCATATATATAGTAATTGACAATTGCTGTTGAAAATGAAAATCCCAATTGCTGTTGAAAATGAGGAACTAACACTGGGAGCAAAATTACAGAATTTTAAAGTTGGCCATTCTGGTTTAGCCTGTCCATGGACCTGTGTGTGTTCTGTTCAAATGTTTAGGATTTGTCTAACATTAAAAAGTGCTGCCTGTTCAAATCTTCCATGCATGAGGGAGAAAGGATTTCTGCCAGACAAATAAAAAGAAGGCAATGGTCACTCCACAGTTTTCAGCAAAGCAGGGATCTAAAATAAAAGATAGTTATATATATGGAAATTTTCGCTTCGTTCATTTCACCCACCCACCCACCCCAAATAAAATCTTCATGCACTAGATCCAAGTGCTACAAGCTAGTGAAATATTTACAATGTTTGTACATGTGCTCTAAGGAAGGACACCCAGCAGTTCCTTTTATTTATTTTTTAAATTTGGCTGAGAAGAAAAGCTGTCTTCTCACCGCTGACTAGTTTCATTGATCTGAAATGAAAGATGACTCTTCCAAAAAGAAAAGCCTACAGAGGACAAAAGATATTATACATTTATAGTCAGTGCTAATGCACAAGACAGCATTTACCCCAGATTGTACCTGCTGTCATATATAACTGAAATGGTGACACCCAAACCTCGAGAGTTGGTGTGGATTCTCTCCGCTTGGTTCCTCTCAGATTCATGTGGCCTTTAATATGATCCTGGCTCTTTGTTGGATCATAGCACTTAAAAATGAAGAATGATATCATCCAGGTCACAATAGTGTTACAGTAGCCTTCAGCAAATGATCTGATGGTTGGTATTTACTAAGTTATGGCACTAAAGAATTCAGATCACTGCAAAGCATGTTATAAAATTGAAAAGTTCATGAAACTTTGATGCTCAACAGACCAGGGCTGAGCCATTCCCTCCTTACGTCAAGGAATGCTATGCATGAATAATGATAAGTGTGCAGTGCATTCCCTGGGGCAGAAGAGAATGGGATGGCTCCTGCCTGCAGGATAGTCCATGTATGTATTTTAAGTCCCCTCATATGCACCGAAGCCACTAGATCATGGCACTGAAGTGAATTCATACAGGAAACCAATCCTCTAATAAAATCGCAACAATAAGGCTCATGTCATCGACTTCCTTTCTGCTTGTTTAAAGGTAGAGGTAAGATACCCAGTAGACCAGATTAAACAAACAGAAGGCCGTGGGGAAAAATATGCGGGCGTAGGAGTCCATTTTGGCAATGCGAATATGTATCCTTCCATGTCGCCAGGCTCCTGTTCGGCAATCCTCAAAGCAGCAGAAAAAACTTGCACAGTCCTTGCCATCAAGACACTCATAGCCATACTCTTCATCCCGCTCTTGGAGGTGTGTCGCATTGTTCATTTGAATCGTCGCTGACCTTGGACGGATATCAATTGTTGGTGCCTAAGATACATAAGGGGCAAGAAGGACAAAGGGCAACGATGAATGGTTGTCGCTTTGCCATAAAAAGTTCCACTAATTGGTGTGAAACAACTAGTAGCTCTACAGAACAGACACACGACCAGCTTACTAAAGGTCTGGTTTGCTACTACAGTGATGAACTCATCATTTTGAATTGATGGAAAGGCACAATCCAACACTAATACCTTAAATCCAAATGTTACTGAACAGCAGCCACATAGCAGGACTTAATTCCAAACAGGAATGAAGCCATAGGAACACCATGATTTGTTTCCCTTGTTAGCTATAAAATGACTGTTCAATAGAGGAAAGTGATCACATTTGTTTCCCCATCAATTTGAAAGTTGATGCTTTATATTTCTACATAGTGAAATAAGCTAAAATTGGTTACTGGGAAGTGGAATACTACCAGATGAATTATTTGTACATAGGTTAGGTGATGCTTTTAATAATCTTTGGAAGTGAGCATTCCTATAACATGCAGTTTTCATTTAACAACTGTCCACTAGCTAAAAGCTTCATCATGTCAAAATATGGCAGCTGTATATGTTCAATCACTTCAATAACATTTTACTGATAATGATTTTTGACCCTTTGAGCGGGAAAAACTGCTTAAAACCAGCAGCTAGCATATGAAATATTTTTTTAAAAAAATGTTATTAAAATAAAGGCTAGAGACAGTAAAAAATATTTCAAATGTATTAGGATCATTTCAATATTTCATTTAATCTGTTACTTGGATATTTTAAAAGTTATCTATTTCAGAATTCTATGTCATATTTAACAATGACATACAGCTACCCTGTATTTTCCACTCTGGATTTTGAGAGCTAGTGACAGTAGTAAATATAAGCATGTTATAGCCTTCAAAACTCTGCTGGCATATGTAAGAATAATTATAAGATCATCCAATGGCATCCAATATTTTACATCTTTGAAGGATTTCTGGCTAGCAAATCTTCAGAAGGTATCACTAAAGCTTAGAAATAAATTCTAAAAGAATTTATGGTGTGTTCCTGTGTTTTTATTACACTGGATTGGATTCCACGGATAACGTAAGAAGAGTGAAAGAGTAATATTGATGTTTTGGATATTCTACAAGGATCTCTTCATGCATGCGGATCCAAATATTCAAATCCTTTGAACTTAGCATAAGTTCAAAACAGCAGTGAATAAGTGTTTGGGCTGCTGAATCATCTTGATGCTCATTTCTAAATATTATCCATTCTACTTCACCATAAGGCCTTTTCAAGTAGAATGCACAAATTATTTTATAAACCACTAGTGCAGCTCTAATTGTTCAGTTCAGCAGTCACATGCAGTGGATTTCTATTCCAAAAATATTATACCTTGAATGAAAACATCCGGAGAAGCTTTGGTTTTGTAGACAAAAATAAATAAATCAGAATTTTTAAATTAAAGAAAAGAACAAGAGGGGAAAAGGAGACAAAAAGTAGTTTAAATTAAAGATTCTATTTGAAACTATAGCAAGTTAAAAGAAAACCAACAGAAAAATGATTTAAAATAGACTACTAAGCAAGAAAGTATGTAAAAAAGAATCAAAATTACACATTTTGGAATTCTTATTTAAGCTATTTCTAAAACTAAGAAAGCTATGATTTGTCAGTAAGCATTTAGCAGTTGAAGATAACTTGATCAGATTTCTAAGCACTGATCTTCCTTCCCCACCCATCCTCTCTTGTTTTTCTTCTTCAATCCACTGTCTTTCTACATGCTAGTTCACAACATGGGTTGAAGAAAGCAGAAAATCTTATGTATATAAAACATTATCTTGTACTTTGAGCAATGACTTTGAAGCTGTTCTACTTTTAAAAAAATTAAACAGACACAAAGCTATGAAATATCAAGTCTCTTTCTACTATGAAACAGCAGTCTTTGTTACCCTTCCCACCATTAAAATAATACTAGTAAATAATAATAATTTTCCTTCCATTAGATTAAGTCTAGCCTGGTTTGTTTGTTTGTTTGATTCCTGACCAGGGATATTCTTGAGAGATGGAGAGTTTGGAGACTCAACTAGTCTAAAATCTTCCATTGTTAGTCCATCCACATTTACATCTGTCAGAACTCTGCTGTCAGGAAAGGAACAGCACTGAAGCTTTCAGAGGACTAAGGAGAGAGGATCTCACTTCAGTTATTTTCCTCTCAAGTTAGAGCTCTTTCTGACCTCATACAGAGTTTGAGTTCTTCTATGATGATTTAAATGCATTGACTATAGATTGCTGTCTTCATTTCAAAAGTTTATGGAAATTAAACTTGTTCTGCCTGGCATCTGAGGAGTAGGTCCATGAATATTATATTTAACCCAATAGTGACACATTGGACACAATATTTGCTAGTGATCTGGCTTAACTGTTTTAACATAGAATGAATCCTTGAAGCAGATAAGCACATATAAACTCACTAACAAATGTGTAATTTTTAACAAGAGGACAATTTCACATTGTATTAACAAAACACACAAATGATAAACAAGTGAAAGTAAAAAGAAAAATAGGGAGATAGTATAGACCATTAAAAAAGGAAGGATGATAATCAGGAAAAAATAGACAAGACATACTTTTTTAAAAAAATTAAAATTCATAATACATACATTCTACAGCTTTTCCCTCCAACCTTATTAAGTTAATTCTATACTCTTGGGGTTAACAAGATCTATATTGGAGAAGAAATATTGAAGCTTCCAGATCTACAAATCGTATCTGTTCCGAAAAGAAATTTCTATGCTTAGGAATGCAGGACTTGAAGAACAATGTCTAAATGTATGTCCACTGACATACATTAAAATAAATGATATACGATCTTATAATGAGCAACCCATGCAAAGTACCACCCTTGTTTCTTTTAATCTGTCAGTATAAATTGAAGATTCTGAGATAGCCATAAAGAGAATAAGTAAGGTCTTTCAGAGTGGCCATAAGAAAAGTTTCAGAGTGCAATTCTGGCATGATCTATCTGATTGCTCCACAAAATTTGAGCAGTACTGAAGGTGGAGTCAGTAAAAAATGAGTGTACTGTTACGTTTTTGACTTGTCTCATCATTTCCAACATATCCACTTCAATGTGCTTTTATAAGGATTCCCTCATTCCCATTTCTTTTGGATCTCCATCTATGGTCTATCTTTGTTCTATATTGGACACTAAGAAGATCTGACATTTACAGTCCTACTCTTGCCTGGTTATTAAAGCAAATTTTCTACACACACTTTCTGTTCTGATATAGCTATTAAAAAAAAACAAGAAAGGGTTCATTTCTGGAAAACATGGTTAAAATCAGGGTTTATAACATTATATATATTTCAATAAAATACATACAGGATTTTTCTTCTTTTTGTCTTTATCCTTGCTTGGCTTTCTGTTACTAACAAAATAATGAAGAGTCCCATACTCCACCAGTGCGGAAAAAACAAAAATGAAGCACACTGATACAAAGAGATCCATTGCTGTCACGTAAGAGACTTTGGGAAGAGATTTGCGAGCAATGGTACTGAGAGTGGTCATTGTCAGGACAGTTGTAATACCTAGTGAGAAAACAGAAACAAACAGAAAAATACAGAAAATATATTGTTGCATGAGTAGAGAATTCCCATGCTTGTCAAGCAGGACATGCAGCAGAGATGGAAACCGAAATCAATTCATTTGATTTTTGGTTAGTTAGTTAACTTTACTGATTAGCCCATGGGCCATATCAAAGTACAGAATTTGAAACACAAATTATTACTAAAATCCAACAAAAAGTTTAAATGGAATTGGAATAAAATACAATTTAAAACAAGATTGGAATAAAATCACTTGATTTTTGATGCAAGCACACCTGTTCTCTCTCTCTCTCTCTCTTTCTCTCTCTCTCTCTTTCTCTCTCTCTCTCTCTCAAGATTCAAGATGGCTGGCCCAAGGTCACCTAATAAGCTTCTGTGACTAAGAGTGGTTTGACTGATGGAGGACTAAAAGTTGGAGTTAATAGAAAAATCAAATTCCAAGACTTTATCTACTACACAACATTGACTCTCAATGTACATGTACATTTTATCCAGATAATAAATGCAGATATGCCCAAATCTACAAACACCCCAATGTAGAGGAATCTGCACATAAAAGGGACATGCAAAAATGTGTAGAAAAAGCTGTATGAATTTTCATATAATGAAAGTTATAATTTTCATATAATTTAAAAATAATCATTGCCAAATATAGAATGGCTTCATATTCAGAAGTTTAGAAAAATAAGAAAACTTATTAATTGTATTTAACAGATTTGCTTAGCTTTGGGATTCATTGGATCCAACCTGCAGCATGCTTCAATTAAATAAACAGATCTGCAGCTAAATAAATGTTTATTAATATGATTCTTCCTTCAACTTTCTGAGTTGATCTCCCAAAGGATAACAAGAAAACAGTATAGTTGCTTGCTTGCTTTGTTAGGCTTATTTAGATCTGCAACTTATAGTGCTCAGATCCCTTGTAATCAGTCTCCCTTGTGAGTGTTATCCATGGTGTTAATGCCTCAGGATGTTTGCTATAATATGCCTATACCATGAACTGTGAAAGGGAGAGTAGAGTAAATCTTGACAAACCATTATTTGTTTTTGCATACTTGCAGATGTCTTTAGTGTCTCCTCCTCTATGATTCCTACTGAATGTAATTAGTTTGTGGCCAATTTCTACAACAAAGCCCTAGTTCTAGTCAGCCAAATGCAATAATACAGAACTAGAAAAACAAGGATTAGTGTGTGCTGGGGATGGGGAAGCAAATTCTATTCAGGTCCATCTTGTGAGCAGCTAATCCTGCACTGTCTGGAAGGTGGCTTTTAACCTAAAGAGTTAATTGCTATTTTATGCTGTTTATTACACAGTTATTTTTATTTATTTATTTTTGTCAACTATTTACAAGATAATAGGTATAAGTAAAAACATAATTATGAATACATGGATACATATAAGAAAAAAAAAGAAACAATAGGACAGGAACGGTAGGCACGTTGGCAAGAAGTGAATAGCTTGGCTTTATCCTCCTGTCCTCTGGCAAAATTAATGGTCCTAAAGTATCTAGATAGCAAAACTATGGGCATTTTAAAATGATGGAATTTATCTTCTCAACCCATAAAGCTCTTGCCTGGGTAAAGTGTGAACTGTAGAACTCTCTCAATGTGAATGCTTATCCAAAATGAGCATTTATAGGTTGTAATAGCTACTATTTTAAAGCATCCCACATCACTTTTGTCTTCACCTCCCCCACCCCCAAACATTCAGGGAAAAAAACCTTTTAATCAATCTTCTTGAATTGCTGAGAAGACAAGAAAGAATATGCGTTTCTCCCCAAATGACCAACAGGAAAATGTATCATTGTCAACATCATCGTTATCATGGCTTTCAATCACATTTTTAGCTCCTGCTGTGTTCATTTGTTTGTGAATTTCTAAAAAAATTATAACAAAAATCTGAGCAGTTGCTATGATGAAGTTGAAAAAACTGCCAAGGTATATTACTCTGGCTAAGTTTAAAACAAACAAACAATGAAATGGTACATGAAGTTTTACTGGTTGAACTCTATAAACCCCAGGAACTGGGCTAATACGAAGTTTTAATAACAGAAAAAAAGAGTCCATTCTCAAGTTTAATATCAAAATCTTTAATGGAAAGCCAGATTCTCTGTAATTCCCTGTACTTGAATAGAAAATAGACTGATACAGAATCAGACTGTTAATTTGGAAGCAAAGTAAAGAAGAAAGTCTTCTAGCCATAAGGATAAGTTTTTTAAAAAACTTGCACTATGCATATGAAAACAGACACACGTGTATTTTGGCTTTGATTTCCCAAAAGAGGGAAATACATATTGTTATTTCAATCCAATCTTCTTATTCTCTAATTATGAGTGAACAAACATATCACGATATCCTTGAAACTTATTTTGTTCTAATAACCTATTGACTTCATATTTCCATTGGATGCACCCACCAATTAGACTAATGGGAAAACTTTAAAAAAACTTACTCACAAATGGATATTGCCTATGGCAATCATTGTTCCTTTTTCTCTAGCATAAACATCCATATTTTTTGTAAAAAAAAAAAAAGAATAACTGGTTCAGACTTGGGTACATGTATGGGTAATATATGCATTTTAAACTACATCACTGCTTTTGACGGAAACTAAAACTCATTATATCTTAAACATCTATTAATATTTGACATCCACTTTACAAATGGAATAGCTCAAGGGCATGGAATACCACATGGTGGAATTTCAGAACATTTGACAGTACAGTTTTGATAGAGTCAACTGATTTCAAATTTCAAGCCACATTTCTCTCCATGTGTTTTTAAGTACTGTGTTCTGTTCTTTGCATTCTCAGAAATAAATTGTACTTCTGAACTATATGTTCAGCTATGGTAAGGCTTAGATACATTTTGGATCAAGGAAAGGTTTCAAAGATAGAATATTCTTCTCTGACAGCAAGTCATGAGTTACTAATCCCTTCAGAAGTTTTTCTTCATCAGTTCAAACGCACAAGGAGGGTGGGAAGGTAACCCTTCTTGTATTGTTTATCATATTGTTTCACTCATGATTGTCATGAGCTTTACCCATAATCTTCCGAAATTATTTTTTTTTTAAAAAGCTGGCAGGGAGATGTTCACTCTGCATTCAAGTAAATATAGTTAGAATCCTTGTTATGGATGGATAAAATACCAGGTCCACTTTGCTGAATGAAGAATCTCTGACTTTTTGTTCTAATTCATAAAGTTTACAAAGGGAATATTGCCTTTGTAACTATCTTTTTTTAATAAAAATAGAGGTATTCAGATGAACCTCCTTAAAACATAGGTAAAGAATACATCAATTCATACCAAGATAACTTCCACCTCCTTAATGACATATGGACCAGCTACAGTGTACAGCAACCATGGGTTTGGCAGCAATTAAAAGAGTGCAGTCACAATGTACTGATTGACCCAAGATTCTGCTTCACATGGAAGATTCCGCACACCTATACCAATATAGTCATACTGATGACAAACATAACTATCAGAAATAAAAGTGTATGATTAGCCAGCAGAATCCCATGAGATTCCCCCCCACCATGAATGATGGGGGGGGGATGTGAACCATTTAATTCCACTCTTTATTGGGAAGCCCTTAGTACATATGAGCAGGGGTTCCAATACTTCAGAACAAGCTAAGCAATCATCATAATCATGGCATGAGTCTTAGAGAATTTTCTCCCTTAGTGGACATTGATTGAGCTTCCAGACAGCCATGTTTCCTTTAAATCTATGCATGGGTTGCTGGTATATGTAAACATCTCAATCATATCTACTCTAAAATATGTTCACAAAGATGTAAATATATAGGGCAACATTTCCACACAATAACCTCTGAAAGAAAGGGGATAAATTTTCTTTTTTGGCTGAAGATCAGGTTCTAACACCACATCTTCTGTTTTACTATATTGATCAAATATCAAATGTTGACAATATACTATAACCATAGATAAAGTGAATCATATAGCTTATTGAATGAGCAAATCAAGGCATATAGAGGCAGTGAAATCTGATTGCAACACTATTGCGGGATCCTTGATGCTCTGTGAGCTTGGACGCTTTGTTGCAGAGATTTCATTACCAAACTAAGTAACAACATCAGTGCTACAAGGGAGTGAGTTTTGTTCTCATTAAATATGCTAGCGGCTTGCCTCTCAGGGTAAATGGGAGTGATCTTGGTGATCTTGGATTAGGTTATAATTTACTGTTAGCTTGTTTGTCTGAGTTGATAATTCCTTGACTGGGGTGTTCTTTATTTCTTGATTGTTGCTCTGGTGTTAACCTCTGCTCATCTGGATGTTGATTGCTGCAGGGGAAGTGTTTTCATCTCTCCTTTTGGGCTTTTTGGTTGTCATTTTTGCATGGTATGTAGATGTTGTTTATGTCTCTTCTGATGGACAATTTGTCTGAATGCTAGTCTTTCAGGAATTTTCTACCATTTTTGGACTTGGTTTGATCTAGGATGCTCATAGTTTTCCCAGTTTAAACTATTGTTAAGTCTGTCTAATGTTGTATACAATGCTCTTGAAAATAATTTGGAGATAATGTATATTGGAGAACCAGTTTGGTGTAGTGGTTAAAGGGATCAGGTTAGAAACTGGGAGACCACAAGTTCTAATCCCACCTTAAGTGGAAAACTAGCTGGGTGACATTGGGCCAAGCCACTCTCTCTATCAGCTTAGGAAGCAGACAAGGGCAAATTATTTCCCAAAAAAACTTTGCCAAGAACACTGCAAGGAATTGTTCAAGTAGTTGCCAGGAGTCAAAAACTGACTCAGAGACACACAAATTATAACACATAAAAAAAGTATTTATTATAATTAAGATATTGCTATTCTGTAAACGTAGACCAATTAGTTTAGTATTCCATACAAGAAAGAGGAATATTACATTGGACCCAGGCTCTTTCCAGCCCACAAGAATGAATCTTTTCAGAGTTGGGAACTTAATTTGGAAATCCTGTGCTATTGTTAAAACTAAATTCTTATGGCATTTCTGGATCCCTTCATAAGTGGATTACTGCATTCCAGTCAAAAAGGCAACAAATAGTAAAAATAGGGAGTACTATATCAAACCCTGCTCCAGTTAACAGCGATGTCCCCCAAGGCAGCATTTTAGGACCCACACTCTTTATACTCTATATAAATGACCTTTGCGATCACCTTATAAGCAACTGCATTCTCTTCACGGACTACGTAAAACTATTCAACACTAGAGACAATGCTACTGTCCTTCAAAGCGACCTTGATTATGTGTCTGAATGGTCAAACAATTGGCAACTCCAAACCTCAACCAACAAATGTTCTGTCTTACTCATTGGTAAAAAAAATCAATACACCAAATACAAACTCGGAGGATATGACCTCATTGATGATCCTCACTCTGTCAAGGACCTTGGAGTTCTCATATCAAATGGCCTAAGTGCCAGAGCTCACTGTAACAGCATTGCCAAAAAGGCATTAAGAGTTGTAAACCTAATCTTATGAAGCTTCTCCTCCGGAAATATTGAATTGCTAACTAGACCATACAAAACATTTGCTAGACCAATATTCAAATATAGCTCCTCAGTCTGGAATCCGCACTGTATATTGGACATTAATACAATTGAGCGAGTCCAGAAGTATTTCACGAGAAGACTACTACACTCTTCTGTTCACAACAGTATACCCTATATCACCAGGCTTGAGATTTTGGGCTTGGACAATCTTGAACTACACCACCTTAAGACTAGCACATAAAATTATCTGCTACAATGTCCTACCAGTCAATGACTACTTCAGCTTCAACCACAATAATACAAGAGCACACAACAGATACAAACTCAATGTAAACTACTTCAAACTTGATCGCGGAAAGTACGACTTCAGCAACAGAGTGGTCAATGCCTGGAATGCACTACCTAACTCTGTTGTTACATGCTCTAACTCCCACTCCTTTAACCTCAAACTATCCACTATTGACCTCACCCCATTCCTAAGAGGTCTGTAAGGGACATGCATAAATGCACCATCGTGCCTACTGTCCCTGTCCTATTATTCCCATTTATTTGTACCTATTTCCTGTATCTTACTCATGCTTATACGTATACCTATTATCTTGTAAGTGATTGACAAATCAAATAAATAAATAAATAAAAAGGTTAGCAGAAGAAATAAAATGGGGGGAGGGAGCTAAGGGTATTAAACATACCATACCAGAACTTTGTCCTAGAAATTCTCCTGGCTCAGTCAAAATGATGTTCTCCCATTGCTTATAAATAAAAGTATATGTTTAAAAAAAAGCAAGGCCAGGAAGAGAACAGAGAAACAAAACTACAAACTTTCTCATTTCTAGTCTGCTGATCTGAAAGTAATAGAATTTTGAACTTCTTGGAGCCAATTTGGAGAATTCCAGTGAGAGCATTAGATTGTGCTTTTCTAGATTTTAATAGGGCAAAAGTTTTAAAGCAGCATTCTAAATGTATGTCATGTTGGATCCACACATCTAGGCAATTTGTATAAGCTAACACATTTTTACAGAGGTTATGACTACTAAAAAGATAAAGAAGCAATGACCTACCCAAAGATGTTCTAGCTGGTACAGCATCCTTATTAATCCAGAAAGAAACCCAGGAGAGCACTACAATGAGTGTGCAGGGGATATATGTTTGAATGGTGAAATAGCCCATCCTTCTGCTTAAATCAAAATAGACCGCCATCACCACATAGTCTCCTGTAAAATGTATATAAAGAGATACAGATACACACAATACATTATACAGTCAAATTACTGTCTATTGATGCATTGCACAGTGGACCCAAGGCAAGTGAATTTCTCAGTGCCAAATCTTTTTTTCCCATCTCCCTTCACTGGACCTTTGTTCCTTCCAGCTGGACTAGAAAGTTAATTGAAAACTGTGCAAGAGTACCTCCATCACTGATCCACATACATTTAAGAGAATTGCTTCATTAATTTCAATGAGTCTAGATAATCAGTGTGCAATTAACCTCCTATCTACCACAAGCTAGCAAATGATAGCAAAGTGGAGTATATCATATCCAGCCAGCTTAACTTACATTTCTCCATGGACGGCATATCCTTCAATGTCAGGTTAGTGACTAACCAATCAATTTCAATATACTTGCTCTTGTTTTCATTTATTTATTTTAACTTTAACTCCACAAGATCGTCCCATTCAACTCACCCTGGTTCTTATAACCTTTCTTCCTTTGGTTTTCTTTTCCCTTTGATTCATTTTTTTTTCCTCATGAACGCATCAGTTTCAGTTAAGAGCTTCAGTAAAAAAAAAAAAAAAAGCTGGTGTGCTCCTGAAGGGGACAGATTCTAATGCATCCTGGGATTCAGATTGGAACTGATTCTCTCTTTTCAGGCTCTTTCCATAAAAACAATCCCATGCTAGAAGACTATGGGCACATACTGTTTCTATGTAATTTTGAAGAATGAGGCAATTGGCCAGATGTAAAAGAAAAAAATGCATATATAACTACTAACCAAGTAAAGACCCGGGGTTTTTTAGTAATATTTTTATCTGACTGTGCTGGCTTCACAGAATTACATGTGCCCTGAGGTTAGGGCAGAGCATTCAATTAAAAGGCATGTATTGATTCAGATACCTCTAAAACTATACCACGCCAATTCTGCAAAGTACATCTTATCACTAGATGGCAGCAAAATGTTAAGAGTTGTCTGCACAGCTTTCTTGCCATCATCTTGTGGTAGCCTGAGATGACCGTCAATGTTGACCAGGACAAAACCTGTGGCTTAACAATGCAAAGTAGATGCCCTCTAGAGCAACAAAGTAAGTTGTGAGGCTTTGGGAACAATTTAAAAGATTGGGGCCCTGCAGAAACAGATGCTATAGACTCAGGTTGAAAACAACGAGTCATGATATAAAGAATGCATGGAATTCTTTATCAGATTTATTTCCAGAAGTTAAACATTGTGTCTCAGTTCTCAGGAAAGCACTCTTTAATCTCTCTTTAAATTGCACCGTAGGGTATAAAAGGAGAAAATGATCAAAGTCAACAACAAACTAATCCATTAATTTTCCACTCATAGGGCTATAAGGTCTCAGCCAAAAAAATCCATCAGCAAATAACTAGTTTAGTGAGGTTGAGGAACCATTGCAAATTGAAATACAAGTAGTCCTCAACTCACAACAGTTCATTTAATGACCATTCAAAGTTACAACAGCAATGAAAAATGTAATTTATGAATGTTCTTCACACTTAAAACCTTTGCTGCATCTCCATGGTCATATGATCAAAATTCAGATGCCTGGTAATTGATTCATATTTACAATAGTTGCAGTGTCCAGGGTCATGTGATCCACTTTTGTGACCTTTTGACAAGCAAAATCAATGGGGAAGCCAGATTCACTTAACAAGCATGTTACTAACTTAACACATGCAATGATTCACTTAACAACTGTGGCAAGAAAAATCATAAAATGGGGCAAACTCTCTTAACAAATGTTTCACTTACCAACATAAATTTTGGGCTTAATTGTGATCATAACTCGAGGACTACCTGTATTTGCTTAAATAGATATGTTCAAAGAAAATATCAAGAAAGGTTTGGTACATATCCAACAAAACTCCTCCACCTCTGTTTTCCAAGTAGCTTACTAAGGAGTTATTTCCCCCTCCTAGATTAGCAATTCTGCCTGCTGATTGCTAGGTTCATGGTGCAGGAATCCTATGGATTTTGGCATATATTTTTTAAAGAGGTTGGAAGCCAGTGCCTCTTCCCACCTTATAATTCCCTGGCATTGACCGTTGGTAAGGGGAAGATTAATTAATAATATTTTACTGCAAAGTCGTTTATGCACAAAACCAAACAAACCTATAATTAAAACTCACAATTCACTTATGTGAAATTTGGTACGATTATTCCCACAGTTGCAATAATTGTGATAAAAATGTCATTTAATTTTGACCCAAGTAAACAAATGTCAGACTTTGTTCATGTTTCAAAAGCCTAAAACTGAAGAGTCTAATTCCAAAACCTATTTTTGTAAATGTTCCTACAAATTTAATCCTTTGACCACTTGCCATACACACAAAGATCAATATTTGCCCTGAGATGAAGCAAATAAACTCTGACCTGATTTAAATAAAAGCACCAAATCATATCTGAAACCAAATTTTGTCATAAATGCAGGTATCTAGAATATACTGATTTTTTTATTCATTTACAATATGTGTTTCCTTTAAGAATTTTTTCAATTTCTCACCCTCTGCTTTAGGGTTTGTTTATTTATCTGAGAATTGCTTTTATGGAATGATTGAGAAATCTATCTCATGTGAATTTTTATGTGAGTATTTATTCTTTCCAAATTTATAGGAGATTCCATTATTTAATTATTTTTATACTAAAAACAAAATGCCTCACAAAACTGAGCAATTAAGCAAAATTGACTGACAGATTCATCTATCCCTTGAATGTCCTAACCAACAAGATTTATGGTAGCCACAGAAAACCCCTTTATGCAAGAGGAAAATGTTTATTCCCAGATCTGTTTGAAAGTACAATAAAACCTCTGGTCACCACCACAATTTGTTCCATAACTTTGGTCGCAACCCAATTTGGTCATGACATGAACCTAATTTTGGAATTTTGATGCTTACAAAAAAAAAAAAAATGGTACGGAAGGGGAAATCAGCCGTGGGAAAAAAAATTGTGAATTTTTGGGTTGGAACTCAATTTGGTCATGGTCAGAAGCGTTCGTGACCAGAGGTTCTACTGTATAGCTCTTTTAGGGGCGACTAAAAGAACCATACTTTCAAAGGTTTCTGGGAATAAATAGTCATTTATCAGAAAAACTGTGCAATCCAATAATGGGATCCTTGCTGAAGCAGAAGATATTGGTGCATCAAATGAGATGTTGAGAAATCTATCAGGTTCTCTAACATTCCATGTTTGTTTGTTCATGCAAATTCACCACAAAGGACAATGTCTGCAGTTCAGAACAATCGACTCTCCATGTTATGAAAAGCAAAACAATGTCCACAAACATCAATTGTATCGACAATACTTCACAGAAAAATAACTTGAAATATTACTTCCACACTAACAAAAACTATATAAGTTCCATCTAGATGCACTTAATTTCCTAATAACATGCTGGCTTACAAAACCAAACCTAATTTATCAAAATATAATACCCTTTTTAAATTTTGCAATATATAGCTGCAACCCTATACAGTTTGGCATAGGCCTGGGCTTGCAAATGAAGAGGAACTTCATTCTGAAGAGATATGCTAGTAGGAGTGTGTGAATTAGCCACAAACCTTGCTCAACCACAATGTTCAGTTCAAAGACATATTGATTGAAATTCAATTTGATTGAACTGTGCAATTCAAGCCATTATATCAATTTGATTCAAATATTTGATCAAATTAAATGTCTGTTTGCACTTTTGCAAAATTCTAACACATATTTACATCAGATTGGAATCAATTGACTTGATTTGTCAGTCAAATTGATTTGGTAATTCAATGCAAACATTCAATTCAAAGGAATTATTTGATTCAAACCAAAGCATCCAAACCAAAGCTTCTCACAGCCCTAATGCTTAGACGTATACATTATTATGACTATTTTAAACTGTTAATCCTGTTTGTATTGCAGCTCAAATCCTTCTCTTCCTTCTAGCAGAATTCCATTTACATTTTAGCTTGCTTGCCTTTCAGTCCAAAAAAATTCAGGAGAAAGTATGAAACAACAAAAAACATCACAACATTGACCCAAGCATAAAAAGAGTAAGAATGTTTCAGTTGCAACAATAAGACTGTTCATTCAGTTAGCAGTTTTACAACAGAATCCAATGTTTGGCATCACATCTGTAACTCAGTAAAGCAGACACCAAGCTGTTTTATTGTGTAGTGGTCTTCACAATGAAAACAAACACCTGCCTCCAGTCACCAGTGTATACAAACTTAATATTCACCACTCAAATCCTTTTTCAAAGCAACAACTGGACCAGTGTGCTTTTGAAATTAAAAATTGTGCTTTTGCCTGGGAAGGCTGCTATGGCATTTGGTTAAAGCCATAATGAAGTGCTTCAGTTAACACAGCACAATAAACCTATAGGGACATCTTGATTAGAATGTATAGCATATTAAAACATTTAGCATAGTCCCCTTAATTTTGGCAATGCAGTTATACTTGCCTTTTGTCCAACCATAGAAACAACATAGAGGATAATTATATATTTACCTTGGCAAATGTAGACCAAATGAGTGACAAAATATTTGTACTTAGCTTCAATTGATACATGCCATTGATGCAAAAGATATATTTTGTACATTGGCTTTCTGCTAATACATGTGACATAAAGGGCACTTTATTAATGGGTAATTGAAAAGCAAAGGCTGAAGTTTCTCAGTTCTTCCTTAGGGGCATGAAGGAAGACAGAAAGAAAAAAAATAGGAGCACAAGTGGTTCCAAGAGTCTCCAGATTAAGCTATGAAGCTCAGTGATCCTTCAACACTGAGCTATAGGATGCTTAAATAGGCATCTTATGACTACCCTTTGTTTTTATTTTACAGTGTAAATACACTGTGGTTTGATCCCTACTGGAACCATTATGGAGGGGAAATGCTTCTTCTTTTTTCCCCTCCATCTTTATTATTGATGGAGAAGACTCTTGAGAATCATGTGGACAGTCATGAAAACAAACAAAATGTTCTCACTTGAGGCACAAATGA